CAGAGCCACATTTGAACCCAAGCCTTCCTTGCCCCCAGGTCCAATGCCCTGTCCCCTAGTCCACTCTTCCTTTTTAAATAATGTCTCCGTCAAATGGTCCTCCAGGCTCCTGCATGAGAACTGCAAATAGGGCAGAGCCAGTAGTCCAGAGACAGTGTTAGATGATTTTCCTTGTTTGGAAGTTCTTGCACCCAATCTAAAAATGGCTCTTTGTAGCTTATCCCTACTGCTCATGGGTCTGTGATCAGAGGTCAGCCAGAACAAGGCTAATCCCTGTCTCTTATGCCAGCTGTTCAGATGCTTGACAGCAGCTGTCGTGGCTCTCCTAAGTCTTCTCTTCTCCATGCTAAACATCCCCAGCTCTTTCTACCACTCCTCATGCAGGAGAGCCCTCTCTCTTTCTTGGTGCCCCTTCTCTGGAATGCTTCACTTTGCCTACGTGCTCCCTAAAATGGGGTGCTCAGAGCTGATCATGATATCTGAGCCTTGGCCTGACCAGGGGCCCTATTGCCACCCAAGTTCTAGGCATTCTGCTTCTCCTAATGCAACCCAGGATCTCGTTGCCTTTTGTAGTACTTTATCACATACTGGGACTCACAGTATTGAAATGGAGGAGAGGTGATATAGAACATAGACCGGGGAGGGCAGAACAAAGCTAACCCCTCTGCTCTGCTCTAGTCCTTCAGATACTTTGTTCACAGTAATAAATACATAAATGTTTATTGAATGGAATGGAATAGAATAGAGTGCCTTCTGCATTTCCAACCTTAAAAAAGGCATGTTGGGGCAGCTAGGTGGCGCAGTGGATAGAGCACTGGCCCTGGAGTCAGGAGGACCTGAGTTCAAATGTGGCCTCAGACACATAACAGTCACTAACTGTGTGACTCTGGGCAAGTTACTTAACCCCAATTGCCTCACCAAAAATAAACAAACAAATAAATAAAAAGACATGTTGAGGCTACAAGAAGGTCGGTATCATCGCTTCTTAAGCACTGATTGTATTACACAGAGGAATTCGGTGCTTTGTGAGGACTGGTGGATCTTAAATTGGGATTATGGGGAGCCAGGAGCTGGGGCCCAGTGGAGCTGGTACCATTTTCCCCGAAAGCTGTGTTCAGGGATGGATTAGCAGAGCAAGAGATATTCACTAAGATCCATCTAAGATGGAGACATCAGGCTTAAGGGGCAAGTGTGCCTTGCTCTTGTTCTGCTCTTAGTAGTGCCTTTCCAACATAAGAGTCAAAAAAACATCTTGCTAAATGATTTCTGTACAAAGCCATTAGCCTAGCAAAAATCAAGCCGGAGACCCCTGCCAAACTGAACTGGCCAAAGGAAAGTTCCATTTCAAATATTTGAAAGGCTTTCATGTGAAAGAGGATTAGCCTTGTTCCACTTGGTTGCTGAGGGCAGACACAGGGGCAGTGAGAAGAAGGTGCTGGGAGGAAGATTTAGTTTTGGTCAGACTTTCCATCTGCGAAATGGGCTGTACTAGAAGGGGATAGTCTTTTGCTCTCTAGAGGTCCTCAGTGAAAAACTGACCAACCACTTGTTGGGTCTACTAGAAAGCGAATTCTTATTTAGGGAAGAGTTAGACTAGATGCCCTCTGAGATCCCTTCTGACTTGGAGAATCTCTCTGAGGAGTTTTTGAATTAGATGAACATGTGTTAATTACCCACAATACCTTAATCACCATCCCATCTAGATATTCTGGCAAGAGTGGTTTCTGGAGATGTCCAGGTGAGGGGCTATTGCCATGATGTCAGCGAACCTGTTCGGACTTGATCAAATAGTATCACATGGTCGCTTCCCTTGGTGGTCATGTAAACATCGCTGGGGCCACTGAGAGCCCTTGCTTATTTCTGGGTTGTGACTTTATTCCAGGTGAGTGGGGATCAGGTAGCTGCCCATTATGGGAATTCTTTGTTCTTTGATTCACTTTCATGAAATTCTTTGTGAGTGAGGTATATTAATACTTTCTGGGGCAAGAAAAGATGCTAAACTACGTGTCATTCTTGACCTTTCCCGTGCCTTGACTCATGAGAAATGTCCTTTTTTGAAGATGAAGTTTTCTCATGTTGTTTCTTTTTTTAATTGTGTGGCACCATTTTCTCATGAAAATAGAAGAGAGTCTCCGAAACATTGCTTGGATCAGCCCCACCCCCCCACCCCCCCCCCCACCTGCCCCAGTGCCTTCTTTTTGAGATGCAAGGTGCTGACATACCTGCTTGCTGGCTGCTTCAGATAGCAGTGAGCAGAATGTTAGGGCCATATTCGGGGTTGTGGCACTGGCCAAAATGATGTTGACTTTGTTTTGTGTTGAAATTTGTCTCTGTCCCATGACTGTTCATTGATTCCTATAGATATGGTTTCTGGCATTGCTTTTTTTGCCTATCTTTAGACCATGATTAGAAAATTTATGTTTGCTGTGATATTCTAAGTACCAAAGATACCTGTGGAAGAGCTGTCTCTGATGAGTTGGGGCAGGTCACAGAGGCCCTCGCCTTGGGGAATACTCTCATGCAACATTGATCATGTTCAAATACATAGAATCAATGGAATATCAGCTCATTGAAGGGAGGGCCCATTTCATTCTTGTGTCTCTAGGCCTTAGAAAAGTGTCTTGCACACAATAAACATTTAGTAAAAGCTTGATGAATCAAATTGAATTCATTAGCTCACGGAGCAAGATACCTCTGAGTGCTTCTCTCTCAAACCCTTACAGATATGGGAATCTCAGGGCATTGGATTTCTGGCTTCAACTCTTCTGACTGGAAAAATCTTGGTGCTCTGAGTATGGACTTCTTAGGTATGGTGGCAAGGATTGAGAAGAGAGGAGTTCTTCTGTAGGACTTTTCTTGGTATGACTGTTTCAGTGATTTGAGAATGAAAAGACCTGGGTTTGAATTCTCACTCTGACACTCTCCATGTATCCATCAGCTAATCATTTTCCCACAATGGCACCATGTTCTCTTATCTGTAAAATAGGGTTGATAGTACTTGTGTACTACCTCCAAAACCTCTGCTGGTTAGCGTTCTATATCTCTCCTTCATTTCCTGTCTAAACTCCTTGAGAAGGCTGGCTTTCATCATTATCTCCACTTCCTCTCCTGTCATTCAATTTTAAACCTTCTGAATTCTGGCTTCCAGCTTCATCATTCCACTGAAACTACTTTCTCCAAAGGTACTGCTGATCTCTCAGTTAACAAATCTGATGGCCTTTTCTCAGTCTTCCTCCTCCTTGACCTCTCTGCTGCTTTGGACACTATCGATCACCCTCTTCTCCTAGATATTGGTTTTGCTCGAGTTTTTGTGATACTGATCTCTTCTGCTTCCCTGACTGCTCCTCAAATGTCTTTGCTGGCTCTTCCCACTAACAGTGAGTGTTAGAATCATCTTTGTGCAGATGATTCTCAGATCTCTTCATCCACCCCTCACTTCCTTCCTGACATCATGTGTCCCATTGCCAGCTGCCTATCCTGGATATGCTACAGACCTTTTAAACTCAACATATACAAAATGGAATTCATTCTCTCTCACTTTAGCTCCTCTCCTCTTTCTCACTCCCTGCTGCTGTTGAGGTCATCACCATTCTCCCTGTCACCCAGGCTCACAACCTGGGTGTCATCCTCAACTTCTCAATCCCTCACACCCTGCCTTCATCCAATCACTTGCCAAGTCCTGACCTTTCTACTTTCATAACTCTCCTACATACCCCCTTCTCTCTTCTGACACTGCCAACACCCTGGCAAAGGCCATCATTGCCTCCCACCTAGACTTCTGCAATGGCTGACTTTTTGATTTCCCTGCCTCAAGTCTCTCTCCCTTCCAGTCCATGTTCCACTGATCTTCCTAAAGTGCAGGTCTGATCGTGTCACCCCCCCCCCAATTCAATCAACTCCAATGGCTTCCTATTGTCTTTAGGATCAAATTGAAAAGGCAGTTTGGCTTTTAAAGCTCTTCCTAACCTAGTCACCTCCTGTCTTTTCAGTCTTTTTACACCTTACTCTGGGATCTGGTGACTCTGACCTCCAGGCTGTTCCTCCTCAAAGATGCTCCAGCACCCACTTCTGGACCTTTTCAGTAGTTGTCCCCAATGCTTTGAATTCTCTCCTTGCTCGTCTCTGCCTCCTGTATTTCTTCAAGTCCCAGCTAAAATCCCACCTCGTGCAAGAAGCCTTTCCTGATTCTCTTTAATGCTAGGACCTTCCCTCCGAGATTAATTCCCATTTATCCCATCTATTTCTTGTCTGAATATACTTGTTTGCGTGTTGCCTCCCTCCTTAAACTGTGAGCTCTTCGAGAGCAGGAGAGTGTTTTTTTGCTTTTCTTTGGATCAACAGCGTTTACCACAGTGCTTGGCACATAAGAAGCCCTTAATAAATGCTCACTGATGTGTTGACTTCGTTTGTGAGCAAAGTAGAGTGCTGTCGGAAAGTTAACTAATGATGATGACGATCATAAACCTATATAGGTGATCCTGATCAAATACCACATAGAGTTTTGTGTTATGGCTTTTTCCTTATATAACGATTTGCTAAGAAAGGAAAATTAAAGGATGAAGTCAAGCCTCCCCCCACCCCCCACTCCTGCTCCCTGGAAAGCCAGAGGGGCAGAGTTCCTCAGTTGATGCCTTGCCTTCCACTCAAACAGATGATATCTTTAACTTAGTCAAGCTTTTTTTCAGTTGATGGTCTCCTCTTACCCTAGCTCCTGCCTGAGCTCACCAGATCACTGCTGTTCAAGCATAGTCACAGACTTTCAAAGAATAAGTAATAGATTTTCATACCCTTGTTTCTGGACATTTATGCAATGTTCTTCTTTGAGGTGTTTTGGGAAGTAATATCTTATCTTGGGGTTTCATGCTTTCTAGGAAACTTTGAGAAATGAAAAAAATGGTGGGAAGTATAACTTTGTTTTGAATGCAATAGAAGCAGAATCAATCAATGATTTGTGGGCCATCTTTGGGAGAAGAATCATTTGTGTTCTTTGCTCTTTCTAGAAAGCTGCAGAATTCTTAGTTCATTGTGGTTACCAAAAGAAGTCAAAGCGGTGCCAATCTCTAACTGCTAAGTTTGAAGTCCTCTAACTAGGGCTATTTCCTACCCCATTTTCCCTCTCTGGGTTTCCCCATAGGCCCCTCCAGCTGCTTAGGGCCATTGTCTTGAGGCGTTCTAAGGCACCAACCCATCAATTTTCTCAACACGATATGCTAAGAATCATAAACCTCACAAGTGATTTTAAATGGATTATCCTGAAACTGGATTTAAGTGCCTTGTCTTTTGGGTTTTTTTAGACTTGATCATATTTGTCTCATGACCTGTTTGTCTCAGTCTGTCTTAGTTTGGTTGAGACATATATGTGTATTTAGCATCCCTAAGGGTGGATGACTTTTTGGGTTAGAACATAATGCTAATGAGTCCCAAGTCACAAGTTTGGTTCCCATGTGGACCAGTTAGCATTACTCTGTGCCCTGGCCACAGACTGCACCCTGAAATCTTGGTACACTGTCTTATTGTCCACATGCCATTCGTCCCAAGGGATCCTAGGTGAGTGAGATACTGGATGGCTCAGTAAACCCGTTGGTATGTCAATACTTCATGGACCTGTGATTTCATCAGTGAGACAAAGATCTGCTTGCAAAGATCACAACCTCTGCGAGTCTTAATAGAGGGCCTTCATTGAAGTGCTACAGCCAAAAATAAAGGAATCACCCCGAGGTCAACCTGGTGACACTTCTTCATACTTTGCTAGGTGGTCTGCAGATGATAGACATGATAGATGTTGACGTCTACCATCAGCCCTTCCTTGAAGCCTGCCCAGGCTCATGCCCCACCAGCATAGCTCACAGGGACCCAGGCTCACTACTCTGCAGCAGTGACTGAGGCTTTGGAAGAGGGCATCCATGGAGGAGGATTTCTGTGAAGGAGGATGTCAATGCAGGAAGAAACTAGCACTAGTCTGGGAAAAGGAATGAAAGAGCATGCTTGACTGAGGGAGTCAGGAATGGTATCTTTGTATAGAAGATGAGTGCCGTGCATGTATGGAGTTAAGGAACCACTCCCATGATGGTGTCTATATAAGCAGTGAATGTGCTTTTCACCAATGGTTCCTATTGGCAAAAGTGTTATCTTTGTAAAGCATATCCCCTGACTTCAATGGGTTTTAAGTACTGTTAACAATGGACAGTGTGTTAACAAACAGATTGATGAATTGTCTTGATTTTGGTATTTACTTGTCAACCTGACATGCCTTTTGTATCCATGTGGTGCAGTGGATAGAGTGCTGGGCCTGGAGTCAAGTAGACTCAACTTCCTGAGTTCAAATCTAGCCTGAGGCACTTCCTAGCTCTGTGACCCTAGGCAAGTCACTTCACCCTGTTTGCCTCAGTTTCCTCATCTGTAAAGTGAGCTGGAGAAGGAGATGGCAAACCATTCCAGTACCTTTGCCAAGAAAACCCCAAACAGGGCTATAAAGGGTAGGACACGACTGAAATGACTGAACAACAACGAAAGGCCTAGGTGTGGGTTTGGACATCGCCTCCCACCTCCTCTGCAGCCTGAGGATAGATTTGAATTCAGGGATTTGAACACAGACCACCCTCTGGCCCCCCAAGGTCTAGATCCTGTCCACCAAGAAAGTGTCTCTTAGGTTTTTTTCTTTTATAGGTACTCCTATTTAGAGTTTCCTAGGAAACAAAATTAATCAACTAGGTGGCACAATGGATAGGGTGCTAGAATTGGAACCAAGAAGACCTGAGTTTGAATTCTGCTTCTTACTACTACATATAGCTACTTACTAGATATATGACCTGGGTCAAGTCACTTAAACTCTTCTCAGCCTCAGTTTCTTCACCTGTAAAATGGGGGAAAATAACATTCCCTACCTTACAGGGTTGTTATGAAGCTCAAATCAGATACTATTTGTAAAGTACTTTGTAAAACCGTGTCAGTTATGACTATCATTCCTGCATGTATGACGTGGCACCAGGACTGGACTTTGAAGGAAGCTAGGACTCCCAAGTGGCAGAGGAGAGGAGGGATACATTCCAGCAGACGGGACCACCGGCCACCTGTGCAAAAGGCCCGAGGCCATTTCTGGGGAATGTCCAGCAGACACATTGGGCTCCAGCCCAGCAACCAGAGCATTGTTTGTTCTCTGTGTACTGCTCTCAAAAGAATTCTTTCCAGCCTGAAGTCATTTAAACAGCTGTGAATTTGTTCTCCTTATACCAGAAACCTTAGACACATGGAGACAATCGATGGATAAATGGGTTACAATATTAAATTTTCTCTCAGACTTTTCACTAACCAGGAGGCAACAGAAAGCAAATGGTGACCTCTCACCTTGTCCTTCTCACCTCTCATGTGAAGAGACCTGGGAAACTTCACCTCCTTGTCAGCTAACTCTATCCCTTCTGCCTCTTGGCAAGATCTTGGCAGGGGATTCTTTCCTGATGAGACGTTTCAGGTGGGAGAGGATCCCCATGGTGCCAAAGGGGGCCCAGAAATGTGGAGTGAGGAACCAGTGCCTGCAATGAAGTGTTCTCACTACTCTGCAGAGCCCTTCCGTGACTAACATTTGAAAGATGGATTCAGGAAGCGTTCTGAACATCAGTGAGCTCTTGGGTTAGAGATGACTCCCTTTAATATGGAGAAATAGAGGACATGACGTGGGTGGTGGATCAAGGGGGAGCCCCATCCCCTATCCATTGCTCTTGTTTATGGGACTTAGAATCGTATTCAAATATATAATACATATTTAATCTTATATAATAATATAATCTTACATCCTTGCCAAAGGTATGAGAGATGAATAGGCAGGTATTCACAAATGATATTCTGGAGTGAACCATATCTCCACAGTCACACAGTTGGCCAAAAGAGGTGCAGAACACACTCTCATTGTGCTGGTTGTTGACTGTAAGAAGGCATTGGATTTGGTGAAGCACAGGGCTGCCGGAAAGGATCTCCTACAACAGCGTGCCTCTCATGTAGATGGCAGATTCCTTGGAAGATATCCAACAGAGCTCACTGTTTTTGACCACTCTGTGGTCATTAATATCAAGCAAGGCATAAAACAGGGAAACATGCTCACCAGAGGGATTTACCACCTTCATGGAAAATGTCTAGTGCAGGGTCCAAATGGAAGATGAATTTCTGGTTGATTATGAGGTCATTCAGCTCTGCTTACTTGAGGATGACATTGTACTGTTTGTATCAGCCTCAAAACCTTGTAGTGACCTTTAAATGAGATCCATAATCACTCAAAAGGAGTTCAGCCTTATTATTCACATGGGAAAGCCAAGTGGATAAAGAATTTCCCTGATATGCAATTGGCTGGACAACTCATAGAGCTAATCCATTAGTGTGTGTGTGTGTGTGTGTGTGTGTGTGTGTGTATATATATATATATACACACACATATATATGTATATGTGTATGTGTATATGCATATGTATATGTATATACACACATAACATACATACATTCATACATATATGTGTGTGGTGTTGTTTAGTCCTGTCTGACTCTTTGTGATCCTATATGGGGTTTCCTTGGCAAGGATACTGGAGTGGTTTGCTGTTTCCTTCTCCAGTGTGTTAAAGCAAACAGAGGTCACATGACTTGCCTAGGGTCACATAGCTAGTAATTGTCTGAGGCCAGATTTGAAGTCAGGTCTTCCTGACTCCAGGCCCAGCACTCTATCCACTGAGTCATGGCAGCTAGATGGCTAGAGAGAGAGAGAGAGTGGAAGACCACAATATTGTGGGTGGACAATTATTTGGGCCCAGAATTAAATAGGAAGAGGAGAGTGAACTGGATTGTCTTTTAGAAGGTGCATAGTGCTTTTAATTATCCCATACTTCTCTTTGTTTTTATAACATCAATATTTTTCTGCCACAGCTCTATGGAGATGAATCATGGAATATCACAGTTTCCAAAGAATAAAAATTGCAGGTGACCCAAAGGGCTATGGAAAGTTATGTAGTGGGTATAAGTGTATAAGAAATGCACATACAAGTGTCATTCAGAAAATGACCAGAGAGATAAAGGGAAAAAGAAATGGGCCAGTGGCATGGTAAGAGAGAGGGATAACCAATGGGTAACCAGCCTGCCCCTTTGGCAATGTTGAAAGATCTAGAAGGAGGCCCCCTGCACGTGTTGATTCAGTCCTCTATAGAACATTTACTAGAAGACACAGACAAAGATTGCTCATGAATAGTTATGGAAATCTGGGTGGTACAGTAGATGGAACACTGGACCTGGAGTTGGGAAGATCTGAGTTCAAATCTGGCCTCAGACACTTACTAGCTGTGTGACCCTGGGCAAGTGATTTCACCCTGTTTACCTCAGTTTCCTCCTCTGTAAAATGAGGAAAACAGTAACACCTACCTCATGGGGTTGTTGTGAGGACCAAATGACATAATGATTATAAAGGGCTTAGCATAGTGCCTTGCACATAGTAGGTGCTGCTATATTAATGTTAGCTAATAGTAGTAGTAGTAGTGGTGGTGGTAGTAGTGGTGGTAGTGGTAGTAGTGGTGGTGGTAGTAGTAGTAGTAGGAGGAGGAGAAAGAGGTGGAGGGGGAGGAGTGTGGATGGGTTGCAATTTGCACCATTAGAGGCAGCATTCTTTGCAATCACGGATCCCCTAAAAGATGGAAATATAGTCTTGCTCAGACAGTACTTCTCCCATACCCCACTGGGTTATTATGCGAGTGACCCTGTATTGTCACTTAAAGAGATACTTAAGAACGAGTCTATGATATGCATATTTATTGATGCCTGCCCAATGGGCAGTTGTACTCTACTGTGGCTGCCAAGGAGCGTTTGTAAAGCTGTATGCTCTCCTCAGATGAGTAACCTATTTCAGGTCTTATAAACTGCTCATCAGGGGCTTGTTTTGTTATTATTGTTGTTATTTCTACCCAGGCCCTGGGTGAGCTTCTTTGGAAACTCTTTAGACTCTCATCTGGTTGTAACAGGATTTTCTTTGTAGGGTCTCCAAATACTCTATGGCTATTTCCTCAGTCATCTTTCTGAGTGCCACCCAGAGGTGGGGCCAGTAGCAGTTCTACCAGCTGTTTTTTCTGCTCTTGACACGCTCCCTTTGTAATAGGTACTGTCTTCTCTCCTACTTGGGGAAAGGCAGAAGTGACCTTCTCTTCCTCATTTGCCTCCTCCTCTCCAACCCCCAGCAAGGTACAATTGGCAAAATGAAGAGATCTCGGAGACTTAATGTCAGGAAGAAGTCCATAACCTCTAGAGTTAGCCGCAACTGGAATGGGCTGCCTTCAGAGGCAGTGGGCTCCCTGCCACTGAGTGTCTTCAAGCAAAGGCTGATGACCACTTGCCAGTGATATTTTAGAAAAGTTTGAGTATGGGTTGGGCTCACTGACCTCTGAGGTCCTGTCCAACACTGAGATGCTGTGCTCTCTTCCAGACTTGCTCTCATTCTTTATTATTCCAGGAGAGACTTAAGAACAGCGGTTCTAATGGGTATCCCTTTCCTCTGCTTTTCAATAGGGGATCCTGGAGCAGTTCCTAATGTGAAACGCAGCTGATCCAAGTCGACATGCCACATCACTCCTCTGAAGTTTGGTGGCATGGGGTGGGTTGATGAAGAAGAAATAGACCAAGACCAAGGATTATAAGGATCAAGCTTTGGGGATCACCTTTGGTGCCATGGAACTGTTGCTTACTTATTTGCCCAATTATGCCGCACATAGTTTTTGTTTTTGTTTTTATTTTTTGTGGGAAGAAGGTCAGGACTTGTAATTTCACCAGGTGTGTGGAAGCTCCCTTCACTGATGCAGGTTGGCAACTTGTCTGTAACTTTTACAATGTTATAGAGTTGCTGAATCTCATTAAAAAGTAAAACAAGAAGTTGAAGCTCCCAAGAAGACATTCACACAGATGTGGTCTGCTACATCTGTAGGAAAATGACACTATGGGCTTCCCCTGCAGCTGCTAGCCATGATAAGCAGCCTATCTCTGCTACCCAGCATCACTTGGGCCTTTATTGGAATTCAGTGTTCCATTTGGAACTTCAAATCTCAAAACTATATAATCAAAGAGGGAGAGCTCAGAAAAGCGTTAAGGAAAATGGCAAAAAGTTTGACAAAAGCTGGAGAGGAAAGGTCATTGAGACTCTCTGAAGGCAAGAGAATGGAGGTATCTTATGAACTTACAATAAAGAAGAAATTCTTTTTTTTTTCTTTTCTTTTTTTTCTTAGGCAATTGGGGTTAAGTGACTTGCCCAGGGTCACACAGCTAGTAAGTGTCAAGTGTTTGGTCTGAGGCTGGATTTGAACTCAGGTCCTCCTGACTTCAGGGCTGGTGCTCTATCCACTGTACCACCTAGCTGCCCCTATAAAGAAAAAATTCTCAGTAGTCTATGAGAACTAGGGAAACACACGGCATTTAACATGTAGGAAAAGGCACAGTGTTGTAGAAATAGCACTGGTGTTGGAGTCAGGAGTCACCTTGCCTTTAATATTTCCTGGCGTTGAGACCATGTTTAGTTACCAAACCCTCTTTCTTTAATGAGGATAATATCAGCAGTCCCTCCCCTCCATGGCTGTCGTAATATCCGAATCACAAAACCGATGAGAATGATGGTACACCACTGCTGAGGGAGGGCTATGATCTTTGTTGGGCTGGACATCTTCGAGGTCATGTTAGAAATGCCCTGCTCCATTTATTTAACTTCTCTATTCCACAGGCAACTTTCTAGGCCTATGGGCTACATTATAGGCCATTATATTCTGCATTGTTTGAGGGGAGTTCCCTAAACTGATAAAAATCTTGGATTCTTCCGGCATTTGTGTTTTTTTTATACCACTCTCGTCACACCATACCCTGTCTTTCTTCCTTTGTAACAAAGAAAATCATCTCTACACAACAAACCTTCCTAGTGAACGTCGGGCAGAGTATGCAACATTCCGTACCTCTGGTCTACCTGGAAGAGAAAAGTGGATCTCTTCGGTTCTCGGGAGCAGATATTCTTCTCCTTTTCCAGAGGATCATAGATGCAGAGCTGGAAGCACATTCGAGGTCATCCAGTCCTTTGGCCTCATTGGACAGATGGGGAAACTAAGGCTTCTAGAGGTGGAGTGACTTGCCCAGGGTCACACAACCTTGGAGCTGCCTTTTCCTCCCAATTCTTTCACATCAGAGAACCCTCCTCCACCTCTTCCACATAATAATTATGTACATTAACATGGGCAGGACCTTTACAAAAACTTTAATCCCAAGGGTAGATGGATAATTGTGTTTCTAATTAATTAAACCTTAGCACTTTCCAAGACTTTACATTTTATTTTTGTTTGAACCTTTATCATGTATAGTGTGGAAGCCAGAGACAATTCTTTTGTCATAATTAGATATTGTATGGCAGGGTTTTTTTTTTTTTTTGCCTTTAAAACACTCTAGTGAGTCAGTATGGTATGTGTCTGTGTGTGTGATAGACAGAAAGAACAGGGAGAGAGAGAAAGAGAGTGTATGTGTATGTGTGTGTGATAGGTGGGGGTGGGAGAGAGTAATAGGTGGGGAGAGAGAGAGAGGGAGGGAGAGAGAGAGAGAGAGAATGAGAACTGATGATGCTGTTGGAAGACCTGGCATTGAAGGTCGACCTAGGAGCAGTGGGTGGATGTTGAAGAAAAGTGGGCTTGGGTTTGCTTTAAGAAAAAAATTAAACTTGTCATAAACTCCAAGTGGCCCCAGAGAGGAATGGGCTGCCTGAGGAGGCAGGGGGATTCCTCTCACTCCAGGTCTTCAAGCAAAGACCAGATGAGCACCTGGAAGGGTTGGGGGGCAGGGGCAGCACAGCCAGGGAAAGACTGGCTTGGCCAGCTTCAAGCTCACTTCCTGATCTGAGATTCATAAGCTCATAGTTCAAAAAAGAACAAAAGCGGGGATCTAGTCTAAGCCTCTCATTTCACCAATGGTGCAGGAGAGGAAACCCAAAGAGGGTCCAAAGAGGTTGTGACTTGCCTCTAGTCACAGAGGTAGGAAGGGATGGAGCCAGCAGGATCCCCAATTATTATCCCCTTATTAGTTATGTGACCATGGGCAGCACTCAACCTCCCTGCACTGAGCCTTGGTTTCCCTATCTGTGCAATGGGCAGAGTAATCCCCATAGCACCTACCTCACAGGGTATACAAGGAAATGTATATGAATATGCTGTGTAACTTTAAAGTATTATATAAACATAAGGGTTAATTTTTAATTAAGTCATTATGTACATTAAGTTCTGTTAAATTTCCTTGCAAAAAGCCAGCTCACTGCTTTGTGGAACTAGGTCACTGTGTTCAAAATTGCAGTTAGAGGGGTCCTGATTTGTCTCCCCTTATTGTCATGCTTTTACTTAAGTAGTCACTTGAATACTCAAAGCCTTTCAGTCCCTCTTCTCATCTAATACAACCGTTGACACTTGAATGCCACAGTCTACTCTGCCAGGCTAAGAGCAACATCATGAGATTGACTCAAGTCACAGTTCAAGGAGGCTTGTGGGACGCTGGAGGCTGAGAGTGGAATAGGCAGGCCACTTCCGGGTGCTGTGCAGGCCTCCATGTTCTCCTTGCAGGTGCCTTTGCATTGAGGGCTTTCTCATAGTACTCTCAGGCAGCACTCAGCCAGCCACATACTTTGTTTCTCAGACTAGAACACACTCTTTTCTCTCCCCATTCCTCGTTGATGCTCCAAGAGATCTCCATGCCTGGAAGTGTGATCTTGCAGAGGAAGGTGGTCTTGCTTCCTGGGTGGCAATGGTGGTGAGATGGGCTGGGAAGTCAGCACCTGGAGAGCTGTAAGTTTGGATACCGTTTATAGAACACCTGGTTTGTAGCACCTTTAGTTACTTGGGGAATCTGAGGCTGCAAAGGTGGGGGCCATCCCTGCACCAGGTCTGACCCCAGGTTTCTCAAAGCCTCCACTCTTTAGTAAGTGGTATACAGGAGTTTCTGTGCTCTGCCTTTCCACAAATTGTGATGGCTAACCCTTGCTAGACTGGTCCTTGAACAACAGACATGAAGTTTTTCCAGCTTGGGAGAGGCCTTGCCAGAGTTTGCACTCTGTAATTGCCCAAGGGCACCCAAACACCACGATGAGGCACCAGAGAAAGATGGCAGTGGGGAGCCCAAAAAATAAACCAAGTCAGACTGCTGCTTGACTCTATATATTGAGTCCCCAGGGCAATTCTAAATATATTGGATATAAAGATGCAATGTCACCTGTCTGCAGAGACTTTGCCTTTAACAAGGGAGAATGCAAAAGCAACCACAGTAATGTAGAATGTACTACGGCACACTGGTGAGTCAGGGACCAAGGTGGTGGGAAGGGGGGGAGCGGAGGAAATGGTTCCCGTTCATTGAAAAAGCTTCACGGAGGGAAGGACCTTGAGTAAAGCCCAGGCAGATGGAAGGATGTTATTCCTTGAATTTAAGATAATTTAGACAAAAACCCAGAGGGTGGAAGGGAGGACCAAATACCAGGGAAAGTGAGAAAATAAGGATGCCATGGCTCCTTTTCTTCTTGATTGCTGCCTCCTCCCATAGTGACACTTGGTCATTCATCTAGCTCCAACACTGTCATTAATTAGGGGGACCACCTTAGGCAAGTCTCTGGATAGCCATTTCCCCATTTGTAAAAGGAGGGGCTAAGTTAGGGGTCCTTCTAGCCTGAAAATTTTATGTCTCAAAGATCAAATCTTAATAGATGCTAAAGGACTCTCTACTTTTTTTGGTTTCCTACAAATTTCGTTTCCATCCAATTACTTGACATAAGTAGGCCATTGCCTTGGTTATTAATATTATTTTTTGGTCATGCAGCAATTTCTTATTATGGGGTTTTGACCATTAATTGTGCTTTTCTGAATTTGGAGGTGGTGGCGGCGGCAATATTAGTGAATTAAACTTACTGTGCCTTTTCATATTTTCTCTTGAAACAGCACTTTGGGGTATTTTTCCACGAAACTCTGAACCAGCACCAAGTGAGGAGGCTTTTAAGGGTGACATAGGAACCTCTTTGATTGTGAGCTTTTCCCACAATGCCCTGCTTGCGTTTCAGGCTCATTTCTATGTCACAATCTGCCAAGCAGACCTGATTCTTTACATGGTTTTCCAGTGATTCACTGTGCCCCAAACTTCACCTTGTGAAAGTTATGATTGAGATTAAAAATAAATATAGTTTTGGAGGGGCAAAGTCCTATGAACTAGTTGAGAGTTTGGGGAAGTATTTTCCAGCTGGTTTGTGGCCCTAATACAATCCTAAATCAGAGTACTGACGCTGAAACTTCTGAGTGGCTTTGTGAGGACCCATTGTTGGTGGTCTTGAAAAACTTTACAGCTGGGGGAGAACTGTTAAATGCTCGGGTTGGAGCGTGGAGAATGCATTTTTGGCAGGGTTTTCATCCTTTAAAAACTGTTTCAGACGTATGTGGTTTCGTGCTAGCATTGTGCATCGTGCAGTTGTTTCAGGCCCATGGGTTCATGGAAGTCTGTTTTAATGATTGGATTCCCTGAAAAGTTCGGAGAGATTGCTTAGAAAGACTCTCTCTCTTTCTCTCTCTCTCTCTCTCTCTCTCTCTCTCTCTCTCTCTGATTCTCTATCTCTTTTCTGTTTCTCTCTCTCCTCTGTGTCTCTGTCTGTCTC